ATAATATTAATTTCAAGTCGAAAAAAAGCTAAATTGTAAATTTTTTGAATTAAAATTATCATTCTTGCCATAAATTTATTTATTAAAAAAATGCTTTTCATGAAATTATCAGTGATAATATCTCATCATTCCTGTTTCTTCATAAAATGCTGTATATATTTGCTTATCAGTGTTGTTATTTTATTAATCTTTCTTTTTTCATTTATCACTTAAATTGCTTCATTAAATTTAGCAGTTAAATTTGTTAAAATTCATTTTTTCAACTTACTTCAAGTTTTCATTTATTGTAATAAAAACTAGCAATAGCATACTTACCTCTTAATTATTCTTAATAAATTTATATTTCTAAAAATCAATAATTTTTAGGAAGATCTGCAATATCATCACAAGATAATATCATATCATCATCATTATCATCACATCCAAATCAACCATTACGACGAACACAGCAATATTTTCGACCGCAATCATCGTTATCACCATCACCACGATTGGTTACTAAACCGGAAACAGGATTCGGTACAAGAATTACTGATAGCAATGAAATCATTTATGGCAACAGTCTTTCAAAATTGGTATTTCTTTTTTTCATTCTTTCATTTTTTTTGTTTTTCCAAAATGTAATTTTGAGATATTTAAATTATGAATGAAATGCTTTTAATAAAAAAAAAAAAGAGAGAAAGGTACAAAATATTTATTTGAACATTTTGAAGAAAAAGAATTTTTAAAAGTGTCTATGATTAATTGAAATAGAATATTTGAATGTATCAATTTGTAGAACATTTATGGTAGTCCAGCAATACGAACTACAAATACGAGAGATTCGGATAATATCGTAAGGGAGAAAAAATCATTGAGAACTGTTGTTGAATTTGAAAATGATGCATTGAGAAGAACTGGTGGAAAAGCAAAAGTAAGTTTATTAAATATTAGTAACTTTATCAAATATTTTATTTATTAGAAAATTAATTAATTAATTTTTTGGTTTTTTACATACTTATTAATCAATTAATTTTCTTTATTTTCAATTTGATTATCAATTGAAAGATGTTAAATTCTCAAATGTTATCCATTCAATCTTATTTACCTTTTTTATTGACTATTTGTGATAATCCTAAAAAATCGTACTTCTTGTGATAAAGCAAACTCAATGATGAATAATTTGAAGCAACAACAACAAGATTTGGAGCAACAACAAATATTACATCATCGTTCCGAATTTGACAACGAAACATTAAGACCAAGTTCTCGACGTCGTAATGATACATTAAAAGAGGTAATTATCTTATCAGTAAAACATGATACATTAAATTAAAATGTCACTAAAACTAGTATTGTATGCAAACAGTGATAAATTATTACTAATAAAAATAAATATTAATTTTTATTTATTTTGTTATTTATTATCAAATATTTAGTTTTCTGAAATCAATTTTTTTTAGCTATAATATGAATAAAAATGATACGCATTAAGCAATTAATTGATTGTCTTGAGATTATAATTCTTTTAAAATTATTGAAAAACAAAAAAAGATAGAGAGAGGAAAATTCTGAATAACTCATATATTTTATTTTATTAAGCATTTCAAAATCAAACAGTAACATTAATTTGATTATGAAAATGTAAGCAACATTTTGATTTATAATAATAAATTGAACGCATAAGAATTTGAAAATCTTTTCGGAATTTCCTCTAATTTCTTTTCTTCTTTTTGAAATTAAACAACAATTTATTTTTCTTTTTTTCATTTTAAAAATCTTTTTTTGCTTTTACAGTTAGAAGGAAAACGAGAAACATTTGGAGAATGGATAGATGAAGTAGATATACCGAAAAATAATGCGCAAAATCATGCTCAAATAATGGCGGAAGTTGCAATTCATCAGGCTCATTTATCAAAATTACAACAACAACAACAACAATATTATATGCAAGATGATGATTACAATAAGCAGTACTACAACAACAATGTTCAACAACAACAACAACAACAACAACAACAACAACAGCAACACCGACAACAACAAATTGATAAAACGTATTTTATGCATGATGGTGTGTTTTTAAAATAATTTTATCGTAATTATTGGTAAAAATTCTATTTATCATTACTGCTATCATATTAATTATAACATTTGACAATAATTTCATTTAGAAATAAATTAATAATAATCCATTTATTTCTGTGATGTTTCTACAAATTTCGTTTTTTTTTTCTTTTTGAATTCTTCTAATTTGAGACACTATTTTCTGATCATAATTATTTGTAATTTTTTTTTAAATTATAAAATTATCATAATAATCGTTTCTTTAATTAATTAATTAATTAATTAATTAATTAGGTCAACAAAATGAGCAGCAACGTGAACGTCCAGCTGTTCAATATATTCAGCAACCATGGGAATTAATGATACGCAAACAAGTAGGAAATGAAAATTTTTTAAATTTCATTTATTTCAATTTTATTCATATTTAGTGCTTAATTGAAATATCTTCTTTCTTGGCAAATTTTCTTTTGTTTAACAAATTTTTATTAATAATTTAAACTTTTTTGCGTAAATCATTTCATATATTTCAATAAACAGAACTTTCTTTTACTTCTTTGTAACTATTTATTTACTTTTAGAAATTTAATCTTTTTTCAAAAAAAAAAAAAAAAAAAGAACGAACTTTTATTTATAGATATTTCATCCTAATGAACAACTTGGAGAAGAACAAGAAATTGATTTAATTTTTACTCAAATTATTACCGACTGTCGTAAACCTAGAAGTTATCGAATTCATAACAATGAACGTGATGCTATAAGTCAAATCTTACGTATGTTTTGCAAAAAAATTTTTTTTTCCTTTTCATAGATAAAAATTATAAATAAAATATTTGCTAACTTCTTGATTTGATTTTTTTTATTTCAAAATTATAAAATTGATATCTGTACTAAATTTTATTCATAGATAAATCATTTAAATAATAATCTAATACTAAAAGATTTATTAATAATTTGAAGAAAAAAATTTAGTAGCAAATAAAAAACATCGAACAATTTTTGAGAAAAAAAAAAACATCTTTTTTAAAGAAGTTTAAATTATTAAAAAAATAAATAAAAGAAAAGGAGTAATTAGTTTGATTTATTTGGAAAAAAAAAATGAAAGAAATAAAACAAAAAAAAAAAGAAATCAATTTTATAATTTTGAAATAAAAAAAAAAAAAAACTGCCATTGTTTTATTGAAGTATGAATTGAATTGATTAAATTAAATTACTTTTAGGTAACTATCGAATTCCACCTGCTATGCTTGACAATCCTCAATTGCTTCTGATCGATGTCAAAGTAGCTGTCATCCAATGTGCACGACGTTGGCCATTATATTTTAGTGTTCAATTTCCAGTTGTGGATCAATTCATTAACAGAGTTACTAATGAAATAGTAAATGCACATCGAATATTAGCTATTCATGAATCAGGGCTTACGTATGTTTTATTTTATTTTTTTAATTTTTATTAAATGTTTATTTCCCTTTTCTCTCTTTTAATGTATAATTCTTTGTCACTTTTTTTTTTCTTTTAATCGAAGAAAATATTAAATTTTAGTATGACTTAAATAATTTATTCAATATTTAATTTATTACTTTTTCATGCAATTAATATCAATTTTAAACATTCAAACATTCTTTTTTCTATTTAACATTGATCTATTTACCAGTTCTTCCTATTTCTTTTTTTATTGTTTGAATAAAAAAAAGAAAAAAGAAAATTAACAATCATCAAAAAGAAGAATAAAACTTTCCTAACTTTTCATACAAAATAAAAATAAGTGAAATCTTTTCTAACGCAAATAATGAATTTATTAGGTAAATGAAAAAAATTTACAAAATATTTTATGGAAAACGATGTAAATTTTTTAAGTAATTATTGTTTAGATTATAGCAATGAATATAACTAGGCTACAAAACAAAATTTTGCTTAAAATTTTAACCTTATTTAAACAACAAAATGATTATTTCCAAAAAAAAAGAAGAAAAATAAAAAAAATGAGCGATAAAAGCTAAATGTTAAAATTTAAACTATGAATCAGTGTTGGAAGCACTGAAAAGCTGAAATTGCCTGAAATTTTTGCATTAAACTGTTTCGGTTAATTCTTATTTAGGAACATAATTCCTTCTATTTAGTTTTATAATCTTTCTATTATGTCATTTGGAATAAAAGTTTCAACTTCATTAATTAAAGCTATAAATAATAATAAAATACACAATGCAATGTTCACATCCATATTTCATCCATTGGATAAAATAGAAAAAAATTTCATTCTTTTTAAACAAATATTTGGTAAATTTAGTCAGAAACAAAAATGACTGAAGATGTGGTCTAATATTGGAATAAATTTTATTTCCTAGTAGTTAATCATTTATATAATTTCTTTAAAATTATTTATAAAAAATGTTTCGCTGCTTTAAAAAATGATATGAAAGAAATTGGAAGTGTTATTTCCAACTTTTTTTTCATAAATTCTTTTAATTAAAAAATTATTATTGAAGCATTGATAACCTATCTATTTGGTAATGTAAAAATTTCCACTTCTTTTAATTAATGAATTTTAAAAGTTTCTTGATATGTATAAGTATATAAGTAATTTTAAAGAAATTATATTAGTCAATAAATTAATAAGCAAATTATTTCATTGTTCATCATAATTATTTACAGAACTGAATTCAAATTTACATTAAAATTTGTTACATTTTAGATTGCTAAATCAAGATGAAAGCAATAATAATATGGAATTAAATATTTTAGACCATTTCAAGTAAGTGAATAAAATTATGGAAATATTATTGTTTAATTGCTATTACTGTTATACTATTATTGTTGTTGCTATTATTTTTATTGTTAATTAGTATTAGTACTGCTGTTTAAACTTATTGAAATAATAATTGATTTATAAAAAGTACAACTGATTTTTTTTTAAAAAAAATGTTTTGTTTAATAACAGTTATGGTGATATTATTGACATGCAAGTGGACAGTACAAGTGGACAATTGCGCTTACAAATACGCCAAGACTCACAATTAATACTACGATCTGTTCATGCTGAAGAAATTCATACATTAATTGAGAAAATGATGTCAATTGATGGTGGAAAAGTAAGTCATTTTATCATTTTATTTATAATCTTTTATAATATCTAATCTATTTTCAATGATACATAAAGTTTTATATTTCGAATTGTAATAATTTCACTTTATTCTTTTTATTTTCATTATTTAGTAATATCATAAGAAATAAATCTCATAAATTATTCAAATTTCACTGATTTTTTGTGGATAAATTTATTATTGCTTATGATTATAATAAGCAATACATTTTGTTTTTTATTGATTTTTTTAAAGTAATTTTAAATGAAAATTATTAATATAAGAATAAGAATTAAATGTAAACCATATTATTTAATTTTTTTAGATTGTAATCATATAAGCTATTTTTGAAAAACATATTCAACTTATATTTTAGTAGATTATTGATGGCTATATGAAGCTAATTAATAAGCTATAAAGAATTTTGAAATTTAATCTTTTCTTATTTTTGCAAATAAATTTAATTGTTATTTTTGTTATTTAATAAAAATTTTGTTTATCAAATCATTAAATTAAAAAGAAAATTGCATAATTTTAGGTACGAATATATATGCGTGCAGTAGCAGATTATATTACAAATGAACCAAATTTACTAAGTTTTTCCAAAGGTGATATTATACAAGTAAGTAAGCAATACATTATTTGTTTGTTTATTCATAATTCAGAATTATGATAAGTATAATTTGAATTATCATTGACATTACAATAATTATTATTAGCGATGATAATCATGATAAATTATTAAATGTAAACGATAATATAATTATGATTATTGTTAGTGTAATTATTATTATAAATTCTTAATCAGATTATATTTTACCCATTAATTTTATTAATTTGATTTTTTTTTTAAAGATTATAAATCGTAATGATGGAACATTACCAATGGAACAAAATAGTGAGCAATGGTTATATGGTAGAATTGGTAATCATTTTGGTAATTTACCAGCAAATTATGTTGAACCATTGGATTCTTTTGGGCAGGTAATTAATTATATTAAATTATTAAATCTTTTTTCTACCTTTCTTTATTAAAATTTTAGGAGTTATGTAACATTAAGAATTTAAATTTTAAGATTCATAATGTGAAATTATACCTGAAATTATTAACATTTTGAAAAAATAACACAATAATAATCAACATTTTTTTTCTTTTTCAATATTTTTATAAAAATACAAATTGCTATGGTATATGAAAAATTTATAAGATATATTAAAAAATATTTCTTTCCTAGCAATAAGTTAGGAAAAATATCGTAGTATTGTGAAAAGAAATGATAAATTTTAATTATGAATTACAAATTATTATTATCGTTATTACTACAATCATTATTACCGATGACATCGTTAGTTTTTATCATTCATTAAGTTTAATTATAATAATTTTTAATATCAAAATGTGAATATCTTTTTATATCTTTCCTGATTATTATATATATTTAATTATTATATCTTTATCATAGAGTTACATTTTCATAATTAATTATGTTAATAAGTATTTATGCTCCTACTAATTACTTTATTATTACTTATAATTATGTGATTTTATTTATTTATTCGTTCATTTCGCATTCAATTTTTTCTTTTTCTAAATGAATCTATTTTATTGAGAAAGGAATATTGCTTTTTTAATTTTTTTTTTTTTTTGAAATTAATTAAATTATTACAATTTTCAGATGATTGATTCACAACTAACGATGAATTCATCCACTGTTGGTGGGATTCATTTCGATGATTTGGTTAGTATCATTAGTTTTTTTTTTTTTGTTTGCGATAATTAAAAAAGCACATAAATCAAATTCTTCAGTCATATTGTTTGTGAAATAATGATTTTATAATCAAAAGATTTGATAAGAGCTTAGGAAAAGCAGTAATTAAATAAATAAACTATTAAAATATTTTGGTTGCATATATTCAAGAATTAAAACAGAAAGATGATTCGATAAAAATGAATATTTTAATATAAACTGGCTTCTTATAAAAATGTTCATTGAAAGAATTGTTGCATTTCAAAAATTAATTTATCATTATAAATTTAGAAATTAATTTATTATTAAAAACACCATTAACTGAGATCAAAATGATAGTTCTTGGGAAAGGAAATTTATCATAGAGTTAAATTAATGGTATTAATTCATACATTTAATGAACTTTGATCGTGTACTTAAATATTTTTGAAAGTATTCCATAGTTTACTCAAATCTTTCAAAAATATTTGGTATATTTGATATTTTATCATTTTAATGATATCTCTCTCTTTCCCTTTCTCTTATCTAAACTTTTTCAATCTATGCTATCATTAACATTTGAAAAATGCTATCCGTTCAAGTAGTCAAAAAAAAGATATATATATATCATATATTTTAATGCTTGTTGCATTTATCTATTTGATATTTATTTACTAATCGTTTTATTTATTATTTACTGAAAATCCACTAATCATTTTATTTATTTATTACTTACTGAAGGGAAAAAAAGAAAAACGATCTTTACAAAATATATATTCTTATGTCTTATTATGACCAGAATCGGTATTTTATTTTTTTCAATACTTCAAGAATCCCTCTTTATCGATAAGTCAGGAATCTTCTCCACTGATATGGTCAAGAATCTTTCTCTATCGATATGCTGGGTGTTCTTCTTTATCGATAATTCTTCTTTATCAATATATCAGTCCTTATTAATCCTCTCCTATCGACAGGTGAGAGGAGTCATTATCTATCGATACTCAGAAATCTACTTGTCATTTATTGCTACTGTTTATTATTTTATTATTATTATTATTATTATTATTTTATTATTATTATTATTGATGAATAATCATGATAATTTCATTACCTAATTTACATCACTTTTTTTTCCTTCTATTTTTTCACTTTTTCTTTTCTTTCTAAATTATACTAAAACAAAATAGCGAAGTATTAAATAATTACATTAAATATTTTACAACAAATTACAATCGCCATTAAACCATTACAGTCAGTCTTTATGACAACAATAATTACAATAATTACCATATCTTTTTGAAATGAATGACTCATATATCATTAGCTTAGTGTCTTTCTTTTATTGAACCAAATTAAATAGAACTGAGAGAAAAAGGTACTAAGAACCTGTTTTTCGCATTCTATTTCATTACACATTAACCATTTACTTACCAATTTCTTTCTTCTTCTTTTCCTTTCCTTCATCACATACAAATACCGCCCGGAACGCTTCTTATCTTAATGTATATAAATAATTGTTTGTATACATATGTTCCATCTATATATATAAATATATATGTATGTGTGTGTGTGTATGTGTCTGTCTGTTTGCCTATATATGCATGTGTATGTGAACAATTAACCGGTTTGTTCCGGTTTAGATAGATGACAAGGAGCGGTGAATTGCTTCAGAGGAAAAGAATGATTTTTCCTTCAAATTCATTACAATTGTCGAAGTATTGCGCGACCATTTTTCTCTCTCTCTCTTTTTACTGACTACATTCCGCTTAATTCATTCTTTGTTTCCGATATGTTATATAATTAATTATTATTAATTAATAATTTATTAAATCTTTCCTATTAAATATTATTTGATAAAAGTTTTCCAAAATTTGGTATTATTTGGAAAAGCTATTATTCTTATTGTTATTCAAAATAAAAAAAAAAAAATAATGAACTATCATTAATTATTTTCAATTATTTAGGACAATTTTTATTGGATAAATGAATTAATTTTAGTACTGTCATTTATTCATATTTTTGATTTTGCAACAATCAATACGATTAAATACTAATTTATTCTAAAATTCTGAAATATTCATATTTGCATTGATTTCTTTTTCTATATTAAAATATTCTCTGCTTTTTCACTTCTTCAATTTTACTTTTTTTTTGGCTTTTTTTGGCTTTCGTTTAAACCGATTCGGAAGAAAGCGGTAAAATCATCAGTCGCTATATTCAACGTGCTAATTTTCTAATTAACTTATTATAAATTAAAAAATTTACTACTGAATGATAAATTTGAAATTTTAAAATACCTATCAGGTATCCTGATTACTATAACTATATCGGCCGACTACCTGTTATGGATTCCCATTACAGTTATCGACAACGGCATTTTCGTCCGCATCCACGTACACCACAGGAATCAAATCCACTTTATAGGTCCTCTGAATTGGACTATTCTATTTCTGGTATTGGAGCAGGAGGCGGGAATTATTTCAGCACCTCAGGACCCGGTAATTTTGAAGCTGAAAAACAACCACGACGATCGCAGTCATTGGACAATCGAAAAGACTGGTTGTTCAGCGATGATTATGGATTTCCAGTAGTAGGAACAGACGAGAGATATAATGGTGCCACGAAGAGGTACCAGTCTCATCAGCAAAAACGAAACTATAATTATCAGCCTTATTTTAGTGCTAGTACCGGTCCTACTACCGGATATCGCGCTACCTACGATGGACGACGTGGTAACGATTATTATTTTGACAATGTCGTAACCCTACAATCCAATCCTACTGAATCTGACTGGGATGCTCTCGATCGTTCAATTCGAAATTATCGTGAAGATCCTGGTGGTGAGCAACCAAATGTAACCATGCGACGTTCCAAGGCTCAAAGTTTATCTCCAGTTCGTCCCAGTGGTGTTTTTGGTGGTTTTGGTGGTGCTTCAAGTGGCACCAAACCGAGACGGCGCAATTTACCATCATACTTTTATCGACACTCTGGTACTGGTGGTTGCTTTGTAGTACCACAAAGTGGTATTTCTGTTAATAGAAATGAATCAATTCGACATACCCGAAACGATTTTTTCAGTGGTTCAGCATTACAGGATGAAATGGAATTTGGTACTGATCGTGGTATGACAAATTACTACCGAGGTAGTAATTCTAATCATCAACAATCTGAACATTATAGACCGGGAGCTGGATCTCTAAATGTTGCAAATACAATGCGAGGTCAAACAATGATTCGTGGTACTACTACAGGTACCATACGTGATGGTTTTGGAGCGCAAAAATATTACAAGCTTCATTGTTGCTGTTTAAGTTTTCGTTGGCCACCTTGGGCTTTTGAAGAAGTGGAACCACCGCAACCAATATATCGTCGTACTTGATTGAAAATACATATATTACTGCAGTAGAAATATAATACATTACTATTACTACTAGTAATATTACTTTTATTAGACTTCTTACCTTTTTTTTTTCATCCTTCAATCTTAATGCTACCAATATCTATTTATTCGTTCTTTACAACCTATGCAACTCTCATTTTGCCATTATAAATAATACTGAAAGTAAAATTATATCGAAAATATTTCAAATATTGATTAATTTTTTTTTTTTCTCTTAATCTTACAATGATTTACAAAATCTAAATTTTATCATTCATAGTCCTATTCCGTTTATTTTAGTTACAATATCACATATTGTACCATCGATTTCTTTTTTCTTTTCGTTTATTTATCAATTAATTCTGATGCCATTTTTTTTTTCTTATCATCATGGTACCACGGTGCTAAAGATTAATTTTACTTTTCCCTATGATAAGGATAATCTATAATTGTAGATATCAAAATAATGATATAATTTATTTTCTCTCTTTCATTTTTTTTTTCTTTAAATTTTCTGTTCATAAGAAATTATTATATTTGTTTGATTGAAAACAAATTTCAATATTTTATTTTAGTTAAATTGCAATTTTTTTTTTCATGTTAAACTCCTTCCTAAAGCATATCAAATTTGTATTATTGCTCAATTTTCACAGATTTTAATCATATTTTCAATTGATTTATAACAAATTTCAAGTTATCATTATCATTATCATTATCATTTGATAGTTAAATTAGAAAAAGGAAAAGAAAAGAGAAATAATATAAGAATGATAAGATACATTTAAATTTATTCAGGTTTCTTCTTCTGTTCTATTCTTTATCATTATCATTATCATCGCTATATCTCTATTTCCATTATCATCGTTACATCTCTATTTCAGTAGCTGAATAATGATTATTTTATAACTTTTTTTTTCTTCTTCTTAATTAATAACTCTTCAATCTTTTTATTTGATAAAACCACTTGCTTCATTGCTTTTTATGAGAATGATTAACTGTAATAGAAAAAAGAAAAAGAAAGAGAAAGAATAGAAAGAAAAAAATCATTAAAAATAAGCATATTATAATTAATAATCAACTTATTAACCTCAAAGTTTTTTTTTCCCTTTTTTTTTAAAGTATTATTTGATAAAATGATGAATAAGTAATGGTAAAATTATAATCATTATGAATATGAATTATTATTTTTGTTATGACTGTGGTTTATTTTGTTATTTTGTAATATTTATCGATTTAAAATTTTTTTCCTTGAGAAAAGAGAAAGATATTTTTGCAGTGAAACATTTAAAAAAAGAGAAAAAAAAATTGATATATAGGGCATTATATGAAATTTGTCAGTTAGCTTATAAAAATTACAAATTTATTATAAAAAATAGAAAAAACAATCAAACAAACAATCTATCACATATTGAAATTTAAATAATATGTTTAATCATTTTAAAATATGAATGAAATTTTCAATCTAATTATAACTTTTAATGGACATAAACTTTATTTATAATTAATTAACAATAATAGAAAGAAGTGAAAAAAAAGAAAACATTCAAATATTTGTGGTTAGAAACAAAAAGTTCAGGGTATTAACTGTGGTTTTTCTTCTTTTTTTCATTTGTTAACATTTCAAATTGCTGATCTAATTTGACATTTTTTCGCAATTGCGCAACGAAAAGTAGCGACTGGTACTACCATTTTTTTTTTTTTTTTCACTATAATCAATCTTTTCTTTTTTCATTTTGAATTTAAGAAAAAAAAAAAAAGAAAAAGGAAAGAGGAAAAATTGTGTCGCGCTTAGTCTAACAAAATATTTTACAAAATGTACAATTTTCAACATTCTTACATCACTCTGTATTGCTGATAGAAATCATACATCAAATAGAGTTAATTATTTGACATTTTTCAATGAAACAATAATATACCTATCCATTTCCTGAAATTAAATTATTTGTTTAATTTTATTTTTCATAATTTTAAAAGCCTTTTGTCATCATTTTTCATATCAACTGATAACGTTATGGAACTTTTTTTTTTTCTTCCTTGATTAAACTAAAATTTCGTCAGTTAAACATTCCAGTGATATCCCATTGATATTATTATTAACGGGTTATCACCTTTGTAACAATGCCATAAGATACCAAAGTTGAGATATAAAATTTCAATTATTAAATTAGCAAATATTTCATTTGAGATAAAATACATCTTCATTCAAATTTATGTTATTAATTTAAAAATTTCTATCAGCAATAAAGGAATTTTTTTTTGTTTAAAAAAAAAGAGAAAAATTTTTCTGAAATAAAAATAATACTGAAAAAACTATAATTCATGTAATTTTAAATAAATAATAAAAATTAAATAATAAGTGAAAATATAAAAAAAATAGAGAGGAGAAGGGAAGAAGAGAAAAGTGAAATTAATAACGAAAAGAAATAATTTAAATTTCTTTAAATTAATGAAACATATATTTCTTTCATCCTTTATCTTTTTTCTTTCTTTTTTCATTTTTTTGTTTTGATTAAATTTTGGGGAATTTTTTTTTTCTTTTTATTACGTTTTAGGAACTATTTATTGACAAGAAGTGCTTTCATTATTTTGCATTGTATCAATAAATTATTGTTGTTTTGGATAATAAAAAAATTTTACTAACTAATTGGTAAATGGAATAGAAATGAATTCAAGGAGAGTATAATGTGCACAATAATAATGCAATTTTCATAAGGTCAAAGGGGCATTTGGTATATAATATACATATATGTATCAAAGGGATCCGAAATGAATTATATTCAATTACTTGAATAATTTAATGGAATGTATAGGAATGGGATTGGAGAGAAAAAAAAAAGGAAACGATTGGTAAGTGTATAAACAAGGTAATGAAAAAATAATTTAATTTGATATATAATATGTTTCATTTAATTTATATACAAACATACATTTGATATTAATTAAATGAATTATTAAATAATTTAATTTAATCTTTTTCCCATAAATTGAACATTAATATTAAAATCATTATAAAAAAAAAAAAAACTCATAAAAGTAAAATCAAAAAGAAAAGGAGCAAGAAAAGATGAAATATGGGTGAAATTGTGTATTAATGATATGCATTAATTTTAGATAATAATGCATATGCATAGGATTCTTTTAAATATTAATTTGTTTCAAAACTACAACAATCAATTATATTTGTAATATTTGTAAACAAGTAAGTAATTAAAATTGTATATTATAACAGCAACAGGAAGACGGAAGAATAAAATAATGGCGATTAAATTCATTTGAAATTAATATGACGAAAAGGAAAGAGCCAAAATGAAAAAATGAAGTTACACAATTAATACTGCTTGTTGATTTTTTAAAACTTTATTATGATATAAAAGTATAAAAAGTATGAATATGTCAACAGTTTGAGTAAATGTGAATAATTCAAAAATTATTTCAAGATTTATTTCTTATTTACAAACTGTGATCATAAATGTTGGAGTATTATAAATTGTCAATTTTCACCGTGAAATTAACAAAAAAAAATAATTTAGTAATTTATTTTTTTAATCACATATTTAAGGTTTCTATCATAGTTCCTTTACTTAACTATCATTTGTTAGTAAGATAATTAGAATCGCCAATAAGATAATTTTAAAAAAAAATTGGATTAAATTAAAAATTTTTGAAATTTTACACTTTCGGAACCTTAAATTAAAAATCTAATTTATAGGATAATGTTGGAAATTTCTTCTTTGATCCATCAGATCCCGATAACAAGTATACAATGATGCAATTTGCAATACTCTATTTTCGACGACCTAAAGGTGTTTCATCTGGTATTATCAATAATATAAATTTCAGTTCAAATAGTGCGCAGCGAAAAAGTAAGTGTTAATCGATTATAAGTGTGCCAATAGTATAGAAAAAAAAAAACATTAAAAATAATAAATTAAAGCCTTTCTATAAATAATTATTAATATAGATGAAATATTCGTGGCTTAATAATTTATTTATAATATTGTTTAAAATTCTAAAAATTGAAGGAAAGAAATGGACATGGAAAGAAATCGCTGAAAAAGTAAAACATACAAATAAACCAATTAGTCATTCACTTCTTCGATTAGATAACAACGAAGCGGATAAATTAGCTCAAGATGCTTTTATGTGTTAGTAAAATTTTTTGAACTATTAAATTTTTTTTTTTCATTTTGCTGTTTGATAAATAAAGCAATTTTTGACGCAAGCATTCCTCATTAATTATATAAATCAATGGATGTAATTAGATTAAGGTATTGAATTTAATGACAGTTAAAATTCTGTCGAAAAAAGTCAAGATGTTATATGATAAGTAGAAATTAAAATTAAAAAATTAAAATAATTCAATAATTTTGATTGGTTCTAATTGATTAAAAAAGTAGGGAAAGAAAATAAAATATAATTATTGTGATCGTACATACACTCTTTTTTTACAAATTCATAAGGTGAAAAATTCCTCATCGAGGTGATAAAATTCAGGATATTATGTAAATTACAGTGTTACTCCAGATTACTGTATATATCCAGATACATGCAGAATATTAGGTAAATTACAGTATCACTCTAGATTACTGTGTAGCAGATGTGTGCAGGAAACATTCATTTAGTAAAAGTAAAAGTATAAAGTTGTTGTAAAGCTTTCTCTCTTTTATGCATTCATCAAATGATGGATTATGCCTAAGTGACAACTAACAGTGAATTACAGTATTACAGTAAATTACAGTACTATGCTAGATTACAGTATACGTGTTGGAATACATTTACTTAGTAAAAAATAACATAAGTTGGTTTTAACAGTATATATTTCCATCATTTTTACGCATTCATTAAATGATGGATTATATCGCAGAATGATGGATTATGCTTAGATGGTAAACTATGATAAATTGCAGTATTGCGGTAAATCATTGTATATATTTTAGAAAATATTTATTTAGTAAAAAGTCGCAGAAATAAATACTAAGTTTTTTTTTTTTTTTTTATTTTCTTTACATTTAGGTATTATGCGTTATATGGGTGATGAAAATTTGAAACGTGGTCAAACTCTTACTGATTGCATTTATGAACTTTTAATGATATGTCATCAATATCAGCCACTTCGGGATGAAGTGTATTGTCAAATCATTCGTCAAACAACAAATAATAAAAGTTCCAGGTGAGAATGTTATCAATAAAATAAGGTAGATGAAGCATTACTTCAACAAATATTGATGAAAAAAAAAGTGTTTAGTTCTGATATTATTTATCTAATTCTCGTATTTATTGTGATTGTTTATCTTGCTTTATCTGTTTATTTATTTATTGTATTAATTAATTAGTTTATTTATTTTGTGCTTTATTTGTCTGCCTATTCATTTGTTTGTATTTATTTAATTAACCTTTGTTTATTATTTATTAGTTGCTTATTTTTTGATTTTTTATTTATTATTTATAATATATATGTAATTAATTTCATTCATTTCTTTTTTCTTTTTCACATTGTTTTACTGTTTCAATAATGGATTTAGTAAAATTTTCATGCAGAGCAAGCACTTCAATTCGTGGTTGGCGTCTATTTTCTATATTAACCGCATATTTTGATTGTTCGCCGGTGCTAAGGCCATATTTATTCAAATATCTAGCTGATATGGCAAGTGATCCACGAAGAGCTTATCATGGTGTGTATATTTTTAAAAAACTATTTATTTATTTATTATTTATTCATTGCTGCTACTATCACTATTACTATTATTTCTTTTATTTTTCAATAAATTCTTTTTTTAATTAATCAATATTTTTGCTATATATATATATATATATATTTAGGTACTGCATTTATTTGTTTACAAAATTTGGTAAAAACATTCAAATATGGTGGTCGTCAATTTTTACTTAGTGGAAGTGAAATTGAAGCAATAACGGTAAATAAATATGGTTTAATCTTTTTTTTTTTTTTTTTAATAGCCCTTTTTATAAATATATTCGTAATTGACACATGAATATTCATTAATTTATTTTTGGTTAATATGAATAAAAAATTTGACAATTACTTAGAATATAATTTGATTGCAGATGGGTAAAACTTTAAAACGACAATTATATCATTTACCTGGTGGACATCGAAAGGTAATTAATACTCGTTCTGTAACAGTTGTAGAGGAGATTATCCAACAACTTTGTCAAGAACTTAATATACGAAGTGCGGCAGAACAACAAGAATTTTGTTTATGCTATATTTTGGAATCAGGTTAATTTTAACATTTTTCATTAATAAATATAACATTTGTAATTGCTAAATTTTACATTCATAATTACTAAATATAAACTGAAACATATTTGTATAATAAAATTGTAACCAATATTAAAGAATTACATTCATTAATTTAATCAATTACGTGATACTATATTATTTTTAGAACAGATTTTGAAAAAAAAAAAAAAAAACGAAAGGAAATGATAATTTTAATTGATAAATTAATATCAATGAATTTTTTGCAATTTTTTAAAATCAAATTTGCTAATATAATTACTCTAACAGAATTCAAATTAAATAATAAGCTTAAATTGTAGAAGATAAAATTAAAATGTTAGCTAACGATGAATATGTAATGGATGTATGTACTGAACTTGAGCATAATCAAAAACAATACTTCTTATTACTTAAACGAACAGTATGGATACATCCATTACGATTGGATAATGCTCGATATATCGATGCAATGTTTTTCCAGGTTATTTACCTCATTTTTTTTTCCCTCTTTCTCTTTCTCTGTATAAATTAATTGATAATTCTAATCATTAAGTGATATAAATTCAAATAGATTAAATGAATCATAAAAAATGACGATTTGTTATCAATAATTTTATAATTCGATATTAAAGATTTATTGTTATGATCATAAATTTTACAATATCATTTTAATTATTGATAAATTATTTATTGTTACAAATCATTGTTTTGCTCTGATTCATTTCGTGAGTTTATTAAATGACTACGACTTATCAGTGTGTGATAAATAAAATTGTATAGGATTTAAAAGGTATTTGAAAATGTAATTTTATACACATATGCAAAATGATCAATGTGTTTGTTTTAAAATGATTAAAATTTCTTCCTTAATCATATTTCTTCATTTTCTTTTCTTTTTTTTTTTTAAATGAGTATAATCGAATTACCAGAATATTCAATCTTTCATATGTCAGAAAATTAAAATTATCAGAATATTGAATTTTCATATATTAGTAAATCCCAATTTCTGAATTGAGGATAAGATGATTTCGAAGAAATGATACGAATTAATTGTTTAAAGAGACAAATTTATAAATATTATCGTATGAACGACTTATTTTAGCAATCTATCAGCCTATTATTAATTTTTTCATTTCATATTTTATTTAACAGATTGTGCCAGATTATATTGAGGGTTTAATTATTGCACCAAAGAATGGTAAAATTAGCGCCGATATTTTGGTTAGTAATAATTTGTTAAAAAAGAATTTTTCTTTTTTTTTGAAATTTCACATAATTATATTCTATTACCACCTAATTTATAATATATACATTAAAAATTCAATAAGTTCTATTAATTAATATATCACAATAATAAATATATTTACTACAGGATGATATTGCACGTTTGGGCGCATATTTACACTTAACGGATACGGAACGATCCGAACGTGTTACAGCGTAAGTAATTAACTTATTCTATTTCACTACCTTATTTGTTTACATACTACTTGTCGCATTATATATTATTGTAACAACAATAATAAAATACAATTTCATTCATATTAAAAATATTATTACTCACTCTTTTGACCTATCCTTATTAATCCTCTTATCGAATTATTTCCGAGATTAACCGATTGTTCAATGATACATATATGAAATTAATTTTGTCATATTTATATTTCATACTTAAGTTGAATGTTCAAGGAATATATATATGTTCATAACGGATAAAATCATACTATTGTACTAACCAATTAAACAATTTAATTTCGCTCATTAATTATTAAAATTTAAAGCAGTAATATCTTTTCAATGTTTTCAAGTATTTCGATGACATGATAAATATGCCAAATTTCATCGCTCAAATTTTATTGATCTGACTACCTTTTTATATTTGATACCTGAATTAAACTTCTAAGAGAAAGAAAAGTAAAAGTTTAAAAAATGTAATAATATTTGATTAAATACATCAAGTAATTACTCATTTCTTTTTTCCTTTTAATAACAAACATTTTTTTCCCCTTTTTTTTTCTTTTCAGAAAAAATGTTGCTGAATTAATTCCAAAAACAGTCTATCCAATTCGAACAATTGATCAATGGGTTGAACGAATCAATGCAAAATTGCAAACAATGAAACAACATAATATAAATCAAATTGATGCACGAGCAAATTTTTTAGGTTAATTTTTTTTTTCAATTTTTAATTTTTAAAAATTTCTTTTTTTCATTATTCATTTATTTTAACATCTGAAATTGATTTTAATTATTTTAATTATTATTTTTGTCTAATTTCTAAGTAATTGTTTCTATGATTATTTTTATGTTTGTTTCTTTTGAGAAAAGGAAGAAGTAAAATAAAAAAAAAAAAAAAAAAACTTTTTTTTCATTACAGAAATACTTGAAAAATGGCCTTATTTTGGGACAACATTTTTTGTTGTGCATAATATTGTTGATGAAAATAAACAAACAGGCGAATGTTTACTTGCAATTAATAAATATGGTATTAATGTGATTAATATTAAAAATCGTGAAGAAATATTAAAAATTGCATTAACTGAGGTAATTTATTCAAATTAATCCTTTTTTTTTTTTTTTTTTTTTTACAAATTTACGTCTTTTTTTATTGTTTTCTTTTTTCCTCTTCTTTCTTTCATTTTGAAAATTTTATTATGATTGTTGTGTAATATTATTTTGTTTTTAAAATAATTAAAAAAAGCAAAAAGAAAATTTTTTTCCAGATTATATCAACAAATCGTTATTCAACAGAGCATGGAATATTTTTGGATATTAAAATTGGTAATCAATATAGGAATAAAAATATAACTATACATACTGAACAGGTAAATATATTAAATACAAATATATATATATATTAAATTATTGAAGTATTACAAATTTATATATGACATTTTAATAAGTTTATATTTATAATTAAGTAAGAATTAGGCATAAATATTGTTTAATTAGCCTATGTAAATTTCAAAATTTACGTCCAAAATTCACAGTCTTTTCCTCTTTGTTTTCATTCAATTTATTTGAGTAATTTTTAAAAATCTCCTACCAATTCAATATTATTTTCTTTTGTATCAAAATCTAATAAATGAATTTGAAAGATGTATTACAAAAAATTTTTTTAAATTTTATTTCAGGGTATTGAAATTTCACGTCTTTTGGGACAATACATTTATGTGGACAGTGAAAATCGTGCATTTATCACAGGTATCGAGCAAACGAAATTGACTTGTGACTAATTATTTTTATTTTTCTCTCCCTTTTTACCTTTTGTGAATTATTTTAAGAGAATTTTTTTTTTTTTGTTAAATCATATATATTTTTTAATCATATAATTGATATAATTAATTAATTTCATATGAAAATGCACAATGGTAACATATCTATTATTGATTGATATAAAAATATAAACTGATAAATGAATTTAAATTGTTTAAAATTCCATTTTGCAAATTAATTTTATATCATTTATTGCTAATAGTTTTTTTTCTCTTATCTTTTTTATTTTTATTTTGTATAACTTTCTATAA